TTGCGAGCTCCAGCCTGCCTCCACCCCAGGCTTGGGCAGGTGAGCTGTCACGCCGAGCTGTCACCCATATTCATGCTCCAGCTGCTGGAGCATCGCACTGCCCCATCTTCCTTATCTCAATGGGCTAAGGGACCTCCGCTGCCCTTGCAGACATCCTTGGGAGTGGTGATGCCAGCAGAGACCCCATGCTGAACCCCCACGTCGTCCCCTCCAAGCATCCAAGTGACTGGGTTGGGCAGGGTGAGGAGAGGAGGGGAGATCTAGCCTCTCTGGTGCATCCACATCCCCTGGGATACCCTGGAGCTGCGTTCCGCTCTGCTGTCTGGCACAGGGAGTGGCAGCTCTGTGGTTGTGACCACCACCAGCTCCCGGTGGGTAGCAGTGTGAAGTCAGCAGCACTGGGGGACAGTGGAGCCTGCTCAGCCTCCTCTCCTGGAGCAGCTGTGTATTCCACATGGTCTCCCTCCCTCTGGGGAGGGTTTGTTATTCCCTCCCTGTCAGGGAGCCAGGAACAGCATGGAGCTGCCCAGAAAAGCCTCTTGGGGTGTCTGAAGGTCCTATTCACCCAACCCTGAGTCCTTGCTGTCCATCCTGTTCCTCCCCTGGTGACATCCTCTCTCCTCCATCTTTCCTGCAGAACAACTGGCCAACTGCTCGGCACTGGGCTGCCAGCACCACTGCGCGCCGACGCTGGCTGGACCCGTCTGCTACTGCAACCACTCCTTCCAGCTGGCCGAGGACCGGAGGAGCTGCAGAGGTGGGTCCAGGACAGGCAGAGCCCTCACCCCATCCCGATGGCAGTGGGTCCTCCAGGATGTGACTAATGCCGCTGTCTTAGCAGCAGCGCTGGGGCTTGGGAGACCTTGACCTTCGGGGGGAACATGGGATAGGATAGATGGGATGGGCTGGGACTCCCTCCCCTGTGGATGCGTCTCCTGAAAGTCTGAGTGTGAAATATTGGAAAAAGTAAGGAAAAAGCTTTGCCTTTGTGTATGGAGTCAGGTGCCAGTGCATGCTCCCGGTGTCCTTTTCTCCGAGAGGATGGGGAAAATAGGAGAGGGTCAGCAAGGAGTGATGGGATCAGTATGATGCAATGAGTCTGGAAGTGAGAGATTGTGATGGCTCCATCCCTTTCATGTGTCTGCAGAGGTGGAAGGGGATGTTCCTGGCTCCGGTGTGGAGCTCTGGGGCAGGAGCTCTGGGGGATATGTCTCTTTTATCTGCCAGAAGAAAGAGCAGCTGAGCCTGGAGTTTGAGAGCTGGAGATTAAAGGGATTCAGAGTAGGAATGGAGGTACAGAGCTGGGGGGAAGCAGTGGGTAACGAGGCCTTGAGGAGGCACAGCGGCCAGACAGGGGTTGTCCTGCTGCTGCTGCTGCTGGAGCAGAGAGCTGGGGGCTGCCTGCCCCATCGTGGGGTGGCCTTGGATGTGAGGTTTCCTTTGGCTTGAGGATCATCTCCTCTGCTGCAGCTCTGCCTTGGAGAAAAGGGGGAGCCTCATTCTGTCTTCACATGAGGGATGTGTTCTGGTCCAAACCTTGGGGTTTTTCCTGTCTTTTCCAGACTTTGATGAATGCACTGTATATGGGACCTGCAGCCAGACATGCACCAACACAGAGGGCTCCTACACCTGCAGCTGTGTTGAAGGATATCTCCTGCAGCCAGACAACAGATCCTGCAAAGCCAAAAACGGTGAGATCCATGGCAGGAGGAGTGTGATGCTTTGGGGCAGGTCTGCAGACTGTGGCGCTGAGGGACGTCCTGTGCTGCTACCTCCTCGTCCTTGTCACAGTGGTGTTTGGCCAGAGCAGAAGGGTTGGGCTGATGTGGGGCTTGGGTGCTCTGCCATGACCCCCCCCATCTCTCCTCCTTCTCCCCAGAGCCTGTGGACCGACCTCCCGTGCTGCTCATTGCCAATTCGCAGAACATCCTGGCCACATACCTGAGTGGAGCCCCTGTGCCCAACATCACCCCCACCAGTGCCAAGCAGACCACGGCTATGGACTTCAACTATGTCGAGGACATGGTGTGCTGGGTCCACGTGGGCGACAGTGCCTCCCAGACCATCCTCAAGTGTGCCAAGATCCCCAACCTGAAGGGCTTTGTGGAGGAACGCTCCATCAACATCTCCCTCAGTCTTCACCGTGAGTGTCTGCTCCCCTTGGGACCCTCTGCCTGCTCCCCCCATCCCCATCTCCTTGTGACTGCCTGAGCGTCCCCAGGCCATGGTGGGTGAAACTGGGAGGAAGGCAGCTTCCCACAGGGCCAAGCATTGGCCTTTCCTCTTCCTTCCCTTTTATTATTTCTAACAAGTTTTGTAGTTTCATTGTGTGAGGGTGTGAGGAGAAGGGATACAGCAAGGAGTGGAGCTGGTACTTGCACAGCAGGTCTGAGGACGGCAGTTCTCCTTGCTTACTCCTTTGGTCCCACCCTAAAATGTGACTGAGTCCCACCCCAAAAAGTGACAGAGAACAAACTCCCCACCCAAAGGTGCCTCTGTGTGTGCCATGAGTGGCTGGTCGTGTTCACCTTCCGCTCGCAGCTCTGGAATGAGTGTGGTTACGGCTCCGTCTCCTGCTCAGGCTTGCTGGTCCCAGTTCTGCAGTTAGAATGGGGAGGAGAGTCACTGGCTGGGATTTCAGTGCTTCCTGGGTTAGGCCTGGGGGAGCCTCTGCCCAATGAGGAGTCCCCATAGGCTTCCAGCACCTTCCTTGCCAGTGCACAGCAGTGGGGCTGGTGGGGTCCCCCAGAGAGGTTGGTGGGTGCCACAGCCTGGATGTGGGACACTGTTCCTGTTGCTGGTTTTATCCTTTGAAACCACAGACTGAGTTGGTTAGATGGGGCTGGAGGATCTAGGGTTTGTTTGTGGTCGGTTTCTTGCAGCCCTCAGCTTCCCTGGCATCATCCTCCCAGGGGCATTTTTTGCCTCCTGAAATTTGACAGGCTCCTGGGGGGACCCGAAGCCAGAGGGATCCCCTTATCCTGCAGACTGTGCAGTTGGATGATAAGCAGTGGCTCATCCAGCAAATTGGATGAACATGTATGAACTGATATCCCAAACGAGTCAATGTCCTGGGTAGATCCAGGAGCTGAGTGTTTGCCAAGGGCAGTGGGGCAGAAGTTGGGATCCTGGGGGTCCTGGGGGTCCCTGGGGCTGTGTGGTGTGGCAGGGGGGGGGGGGCGGCGGGCGCCGGGGGCAGCC